ATAATGCGCAAATTATCCCTTTAATTATTTTTGAGGTTTCTCATATTATTATTATTTTTAGTACACTAACAATGATTTTACAAAAAAAAAAAATACAAACATATATGGACATATTCCGTATATAATTATATATTTATGCATGTGTCCATACATATTTATATATATTTATCTATGAAAAAGTTTTTACCGGGATGACTATTATTAGAAACTAAAACCAATATCATAATTATTAAATTAATTAGAATAATGTAATACCATTATATCTCAAAAGCACAAACACAAGTTTGATTTCAACCTGCACTGATCTTCCACCGTCTCTAAAGACGGTAGAGAAAAAGTTGAACTCTCAGTATTTGCATCAGTTTTGTCAGTGGTATATTAAACATTGAAAATAATGTATGTGAACCGGTGGAGCAATACAATTGCACTGAATGTGCGCCAGTACAATCGCACTAGCTTTTCGAACTGTGGAAAACGTCGTTTTCCATTTCAACGGAAAAAATAAGTACACTTAAGTATATACTCCTAATCGCACGTTCGAAGAAGGTCACGTGCTGTCAACGTGTAATTATCTCTAATAACTTGACGAATTAATGACGCACAATTCCCATACCTTTATCGCTCGAATCTATTAAGAAAATTGTCTGGTACGTTATCGCGCGTTATTTCTAGCTTACCGTAATTTCTTGCGATTCCGATGGTGCGTGTTTAACACGAGGAGGGAAAGACAGAACTGAAAATGGCGGATTCGCCGAGCTTGTGTCCGCGGGTCGCGTGGCCGGAGTTGGAAAGGGGCGCGCGTCTCTCGCGTTTGTGTTTCGCGCGCGCGTCCTCGCGCACGTATAAAAACAGGAGAATCCGCCGCGCTCGTTAAAATATAAACGAAAGAAAGACATAAAACACAAAACGCCGGCTGACTGTAGTGTACACGTTCCATCGGCGCGCTGGTTCACTTATATATTGGACGAACGGATGGGGGTAAGGGAGGCATTCCGTGCTCCTCGCTGACCACTCGTCACCATCTCGGGTCTCCTCTTATCGATATAAGCGAGGATTACGCGTCCGCGAAGAGAAACGTCGCCGCTGCCGCCTCCACCGCCTCCACCGCCATCGGAGAGTGGGAACGACGCTCGGTTCGACAGTGCGAACGTGCTCGCAGGAATTCGATAACGAATTCGCGAGCGAGACGGGAAGAATCTGCACAAATTTGCAGATGGACGATGATGAAATTCAACTACCGAGACCAGCTACTTAGCATCCTCTATGATTGCAATCGTATTCGATTAATTGATCGCTAGCAAATCCCAACAAATTTCATTAATTCGCGACAAAAAATTAGAATTCTTTTTTTTTTAATAAATTATTTAAAATTCTGTAAAATATAAGGTAAAGTATAATAGGGCGGGCGATGAGAAACAAAATCATGATTTTATACAAGAGTGATATGAATTGTTGTCTCCTTTTATTCGAATATCTTAACAATTTGAACGGAATTTTATTGCAGGCAAATAGTTATTTTCGATATCTACCTAGAAAGTGGAAAGAGACCAATCTGTTTTCTTAATTTCTAAGTAATCGTATACCTAATGGAGATTTCAACTCTCTGATATCAAACATTTTTTAATTTATGAAATTAAACATTAAAATAATTACGGACTCTCAACCACTAAAACAAAGACCAAATTCCAGGCTAATGAGAGCCAGCGCGGTTAACAAAACGCAAATTTTAATGCCAATAAAAATGTTAAAACATTATAAAAAGGACCTTAAGATAGCTTTATTCCATACTGGAACGTTTCGACTCGATTCGGAATTGTTTTCAAGAGCAATACAAAGAAATTCTTATCGTAAATACACTAAACATCCATCAAGGTAACGTCATTATCTGAATGCTAATTTTGAAGTAAAGTCTTAATGGACTAAGATCTTTAATCTTTCGGTGTCTACTATATCTATCTATACATAGACAGTTACAAACATATGGTTTGTTAGAAAATTTGATGGTCCAGTTTCATGTTGAGTTCTAAAGTTCATTGACTTCACTTCATAATTGTCATTCTAAGAGAGTGACGTTGCCTTGAGGTTTAGTGTTTCTATGATAAGAATTTCCGTCTGTTGAAGAAGATTCCAAATCGAGTCAAAATGTTCAAATAATGGAATCAGGAGATATGATAATATCTGGGTGCCAAGACATAAAGCTGGCTTAAAGTTCTTTTTATGATATTTTAACATTTATTGTACGATATTATAGTTTGCGCTTTGTTAACCGCGTTGACTATTATTAGCATGAAATTTGGCTTTTATTTCAGTCATTTGATATTATTTTCCGGTAAACAATTTTTCAATGCATGAATATATATAAATATATAAATAACATACATAAACATATATACATATATAAACATATATAAATATGTATGAAATATGTCCATACATCTTTCTTTTTTTTTGTTGTAAAATTATTGTTTAGTATAATAAAAAAAAAAAATAATAATGAGAAAACGTAAAAAATAATTATAAGGATATAATACGAAAATTATTCGTATGGATTGTTTTATGTCCGTTCTGTAATAGCCGTAAGCGTAGTTGTAAGTGATTGTAGTTGTAAGAATTGGCTAATCACAGCGAATATTCTCCTCCTATTCGACTGAATGATCGATTCTTACAACTATGCTTACGACTATTATAGAACAGGCATCAGGCAAACTTGATATCATGTTTGGAACATGTAAAAAAATTGCTCATATAATATAATTATGTGTAATTTTATATATAATTATGTATGAGCAATTCTTTTACATTCCTCCAAACTTAATTTTTTCTAAAAGAAACAATACAAAAATTTTCCTTGTGATTATTTTTTATGTTTTCTCATTATTATTATTATTATTATTTTTATCATATTAAACAGTAATTTTACTAAAGAAAGAAGGATGTATGGATATTCAACATACATTTTTTTTTAATTTGCGTGACATCCATTTGATCAATTATTAGACAGTGAGTGAGATATATATATATATATATATATATATATATATATATAT